GGCACAAAAGAAAGTCTTAAAATCCCTTCTCACACATTCTTATTTCTTGGTGAGGATCCGTTCGATTATGGAACTCATTAACTTCCTCCATACGTAGCTCACGATTTTAAGAACTCGGTCAAATCACATTATCTTTCCTTATAATGTTTCTTTTCCTTCGTCATCATAGTTATATTACTAGTATCTTATGCGTGAGTCACTATTACTTGCTGCTTGTATTATTTTGTGTTGTGTATTTATTTATTGCATATTGTTATGTATGTATATATTTATATATTTATTGTACACTCTTGATTTATCTGGTACAATAATGAGTATATATATAAATAAATATATATTGATATTATCTGTGTGGTCACGGTACTGTCGACTGTAATCAGCCACGGTAGCACCGATAAATAAAAACACCCTTCGGCCAATAGTCCTTCTTCATGAAGGTGGGCAGCAGTGGGATTGAGGCCACAAACGCTATCAGTTTATTCTTGGTTCGTATATAATCGACGATGTCCTGCTCCTAAATAATGTACGAGTACAAAGAAAATACCCAGGTGATTATTTATCTCAAGATTAGGAAACAAAGTCGCGGGTAATAGTTATTTTAATTGTAGATAACTATAGATTATTCGGTTATAAAAGAATCAAATCATTCTAAATCTATTCAGATTTAGAATTTAGTTTCTATAGAATGCTATTACTATATGAATTGTTCCCGTCTCAAAACTTTCCACATTGAAAATGTAATTATAGTGTTTAACAGCCCGTCACTTCAAAACTGTTAGTAAACAGGGGTTAAATTAAAGGTATTATAATTATCTCCATTTTATATTGATACAAGCTATTTTCCGTCATCTCGACTGCTTTTTTCTAGATAAAGGTATAGGTAAATAAAGGTAGATCACAGTGATCTACCATTATACCAAATTCCATTAGGATTCGTTCATCCGTTTAAGTAACAAATGGACAAATGCATAAAGTTACTTATTTATTAGGATAGATTAATTGCTTCACGTGGGTTTACTTAAAGTTATACGACTGCGTTTCAATCCGGCCGTAATCGGGTTGCGGCTACTTTTGATTTTGATAAAACATAAATTAATGTTTCTTAAGTTTTTTGTTAATATAATCTTATTAATATTTCTAATTATTATAAAATATATACATAGCCTTACGATTTTATTATAGCTGATTTCTAAAGGAATATAGAACTCTTTCTAACAGAACTTAACAGTAATATGCTCTCTTAATATTAATGAGACTGAGGTGAGACGCAGACGACTAGAAAATCTAACTCTTCTACATTTGTTTGTAATCTTTATGTGAACTTGTAAAAAGCTGTATAACCGTCGCTTTAAAATTGACTATAATAGATATTCTCATTTGATAAAACTGTCTGTTGTAGCAGTTTATCATCTGCATATATCATTTGTGAGTCAGTTGTCACCAACAATGGAGGTGGTGTATTACCAATCCATACAATTGTATAATTGTATACTAATTTAAAAAGTTTATTATATAAGGATGAATTTAAACACAAATTAAAGGATTTCTTATTAAAGAAGTGTTATTATACAGTAAATGATTTATAAAATTAATGCAATATTGAAATTATTATCAAATTGACATTTTCCTTTAATTTGTATGTATTTATGTTGAACATTTAACTAGATAATACAATTCAATGATTCAACACAATGTAAATAATTATGAGTAAACATCATCTTTAATTTCATTTAAATAGTTATGAGTAAATAAATGAAATTAAAGATAATGTTATACAAAAATGTGCAACACTCTGTATAGCAGTAGAAATTTGTCAATCTAGTTAAGTAAAGGAAGTTCGTTGATCCCTTCAGTTAATAATTAGACATTATCTCAACTTCAGTGACCCCCGATCGCAATTACATTTACAGTGATCTTTCGTCACTGATGAATGGCTATTGAGAAGTTCTAGTTTTGTATATTAGATACTAATTATTATGTCGAAATTAACACATCTGAAATACAGCACGTTTAATACCAAACTATATTAAATGTAAAACTTTGGAAACTAGACTTTAAATTTAATAGTACAAAAGTCGTTTTCGCAAATTCTTGCATTTTGGAGTTAAACTAGTATATTATTGAGTGTGTTAATATATAGTTCGTGCGTGTGTATATCAGGCTTATAAATTAGAAATGTGTATAATTTTATATTTTTTAATATGGCAACACTTTGCGCCCCAGATTTTGCGATCTTTGAACTTTATTATTAACTTTTTTAACTTGGCAGTACTAATAAACATGTCAATTATTATTTTAAATGACTTCGAGTAATCCACAATGCCCAATACATTCTCCTAGGCCCGATTTGTTTTTATATACAGCAAAACTAAATATTAATTATCAGATTGAATGCTTTGAAAACCAACACCAACGGATCATATATCATAATCATATTATTTAGCTTTTTATAGTTGCACTTTTTTTACTTTATTAATTACTAACTACTTGCCCCGGCTTCGCACGGGTATGTATCATATATTACCTTCCTCTATCTATTAAAAAACCGCTTCAAAATCCGTTGCATAGTCTTAAAGATTTAAGCATATATAGGGACAGACAGCGACAGCGATTTTATTTTATACTAAGTAATAATAATGATGTGTATAATACCAATGACTTCATCTGTTATACTATTGTTATTCATGTACAACAAGAGCAGAGTGGACATAGTTAAGGTACTATGTTCATCCTAGTGATACTATATAGCTATATGAAATTTCGTTAAAATCTGGTCAGCCAATTAGTCATGAAGCGGTAACAAACAGGTAAACAGATAGACAGACTCACTGAAACATAAATAAACATATTTAAGATTGGTAATACCACAGATAAGGTAATATTACATAGTATAAACATGTGAATTATTAATACTTCACTATATATGTAGGTATGTATGTATTCCTATATAATGATAAAATCAGGAAGAATAATCCTCAAAACCGGAAATATAAAAATGATAAGTGAAATGTATACTCATTTTTCCATTTTCCTTGCCCATGGAGACAGGATCTACTGCATTGGGTAAAAGGTTCAATGACATAAAGAACAACATGCTTTACTTACGTGTTAAAAACAACAAGTGGGTTTGTTTGTTTCTTCGCGTATCTGCTGGATATGGGATTCTTCTCATAAATGAAGAATAAAATAATAATAATACCTCAGGACAATTCACACAGCGTCATATAGTCCCAAGCTAAACAGAGCTTGTGTTATGAGTACTATACAACTGTTATAAATACATAGATACTATATAATAAATAGAAAACACCCAGACCGATATAAATACTCATACTCATAAATACAAATGTTTGTACCTTGCTATGAATTAAACCCGCAACCACCGAAAGTAGGGCGGAGTGTTAAATCGCTGGACCACCAAGGCCATGTAAAAAGTATTATTTCTACTACTATCACACTAGGTTTTATTTGTGCTTTATTACTAGTATGTAGAACATGGTGATACATAAACACATGAAAACAACTTTATACAAAGTGTATTTATCTCTGATAGACACAGATAGAGAGGTAAAGTCATTAATTTCTTATCAAGATTTACTTATCTTCTTATCGCTAATATTTCTACTGTATTCCATTCTTATTATTTAACCTATGATTATTAAACTTGAAGTGAATATAATAAAATCGACAGCTAAGCTTACGATATTTTAGAGATGAAAAAACGTAGTGATTGTATTCTCCCTCGTCAGACGGAAGGAATTACCCATTTTATAATTCAATCATATTTCGTTTCAAAAGCAATGAATTACGCTATTATATTCTATGGATCCTTACTTTAGGATCTACTTTACAGTTACTCTGCAAAACAAATTTAACATCGTTAAAACATTATAACAAGTATCTCTGTTAAAATAAAACGCTCTAAATGTATTTGATAATTAGTTGTTTATTCTGCAATTCGAAAAGAAAAACTTACATTTTCGAAGATATAAAAATAAACATCACTTTTATTTATTTAGGAATACATTAAATACATTAATTGCATTAATGTATTAACTTATACAAAATTACATTAGGTAATCTTATAAATATTAAGCACAATTTTAATGACTTTTTGTATACAACCGAAGAAAAAATATAATTCTTATTAAGATTCGATTATATGTGTATTATACTATTGTTTAATTCATTTATAATTAACATATGAGTTCATAAATCAGTGTCTTTATTTAAAGAATGTATAAACAGTAGCCAAACAGCCCTTGTTCAAGCCCTTCAAAACAAGTAAGAGGAGAAACAGAAGAACATTCTGTTTCTCCTCTTACTTGTTTTGAACCACACAACATATTTTGATATGGATTTCACTGACATTTCAAGTACTTCTTTCCGGAAGGTTTGTGATATATTACAAATATTCTATATTAGTAGTAAAAAACAAATTATACGATTGTAAACGACCTGTCTACTTTACCAATTTTAGCAATACATTAAGTATAATTATAATTTTTTGCCGTGACAATACCTCTAAGAAAGATGGATGTTAGAAGAACGACTTCTACACAGATCTGTAATGCAACATTTTTTTACAATATCTTACAGCACACAATATCAGTTGTACTGCTTCAAATGGACACATTGATATCAAATACGAAATGTTGACATTAATTACATATTTACAATCTTTTCATTGCTGTTAAAACAGCTATATATACAAGTGATATATAAAAAGAACATATTTTAAACAGGTACTTGTTTGACAATAAAAAGTAATATGCTTAATTAATAAAAATATTTATTAAATTTTAAGTGATTGAATGATGATGATTGATTGATGAATTGCTCTTTTGTATACTTAGAAGTAGCGTGAAAGATCCCAGAGGTAAATCCCCCAATTTTAATAACTCTACCAGAACATCTGAATAACCATAGCAAAAAAACATTGACACTAAAACTATATAAAATAATAACATTATATATATACCTATAACAAGAAGTATAAAATTTAAAACAAGATACATGAGGTCATTCCATATATTTACTTACATATAATTTCGTACATTTAAATAATTATTTTACAAATTCATATTTGATACAAATATAAAATTTGACGAATATCATTAAAGTCATTTTTGAAATGACTTTTATATATCCTAGTGTATATATATTAAAACATACTTAAATATATAATTGAAAGCATCGTGGTATACAACCCTGACTTAGAAAGATCGTGACTTCAAGCCGACATCAAAAAAACTTTGTCAATATACCCTCTGATTTATACATATATAAATTTAATATTCTTTCACCAATAAATAATTTTGTAAAATTTATATATTAAGTCAAAATAAAATATATAATATAAATTTAAATTCGATATTCTTTAAAAAAGGTACTACGACAAATTCATTTTATTTACACGTATATTATGCAACCATAGTGAAATATTTTTCTTTTTTATGTTATTGGAACACCAAACAAGCTGACGGTACACGTGATAAAAGTATTAACCGTTACCATAGATCATTTGGCGCCAGTGGTATCCCTGTGGAGGTATCCCTCATGCGTATCTATTCCTGAGGACTATATATACCTCCATACTGAATTTCACTGCTATATGCTGGACCTATGTAAATGAAACTGCTTGGAGGCAGAAATAGGTGAGACAGACACTTCACACAAAATCTGCCTCGTAACCAGCTCCACTTATGTAACCAGCCTGACATATTTTCCTATACAAATACATTCACTATTTGTGTAAATGTTCCTGTTATATCACTTACGGGATGTAGCTCCGTCCTGGGGTGTGTAAAACAAACACTTCACAACTAAGTGATGGTCTCACTATACGTTCCTCTACCGAACGCTCACTTAAAAACTGTATTGGGTCCGAATTCGCACTCGGTCGTACTATTGATATTGAGGTCTCTTCGAACCGCACCGGATATCTACGCGAGCAGTTATTGAAACGTACCTGCGAGAAAAAAAAATAGTATATAAAAAAGTTTATTCATATCACTTTTTTCTTTGTAAACAGATTGAAATAAATGGCGCGCACAAAGAATAGTAATAACAACTGCTTTGGGTTCTATTACGTTGATAATGGTCCCCAGTAATAGTTTTTCTCATATATATTTCAGGTACAGAAGCGATATGATACATTCTTATTATATTATATATAGGTAGAAGACAATACAAGTATTCCAAAACAAATAATTTCACTCGTTTTTTTCTTTATTAATTTAGGAACTCTAGTCCATTTTTACGTCAGATTTATCGTGTCTTAACCTATAATAAAAACGATATATATTTAGTGAAAATGATACTCAATATTATGAAAAAAAGAGATATTAAAACCTACTTTTAACCATATCATGCACCAAGCTCATGGCCTCAGAGAAGGGCTGTTTTAGGATAATTGCAAGGTTAAAAACTACTTTAAAATGTACGGAATAGTGTTAAAAGATTTTAGGTACCGTTATTTATTTTACTGTCCAAATACAAAAATGTCGTGGAAAATATATCTTACAGCAGAAGGGTGGTAAATAATAGATATAGTTACACAATGAAAGTAAAGGTGTGTGTGTTGACCAAATAGCACTGAACAGATTTACGTTTTTACCTACGTGCCAACATTTCTGTTGTCGCAATATAAACAAAATGTCAGTACTTACACATATGGAGTTCAATCACCTTTAGATATATTTATATCTACCTCATTATACTTTGTTTTTAATAATTTTGAAGTAAATGTTTTACCAAAAAAATGTGAACACAGAACAAATGCTACTTTAGCATCTGTTCTGGCTGCTGCAGGTTTTATATATTAACGATAGGTATGTCTGAAATGTTAATAAAAACTCTTTTAATATAAATATATTTAAAGTTTATTTTTTTCTATTCTGTAATCAACAATATAAAACAAAATTCTTTAAATGTCATCTTACTGTCTCTACTGTTACCATTACAATATTTATTCAGTTATAAATTGTTTTTTTCCAAATAACCAGCATATCGACGATAAACTATTTAAACCACCAAACTTCTTATAAAATTATGATTCAATTGGAATATGATATACCTACGGCAGTAAAAACAGGGCATAATATCAAAGTCAAATGATATCAAAGCATAAGTCTCCGTCTAACATAACATGCCATTACTGAATTTTATTAGAATTATTATTTTGCGAGAGTGGCCAGTGCTCATTTTAAAATTACAAAATTCTTTATTTATACTCATGTTAATATTTTTTAATAAATTACGCCTAAACGATAAGAGATATGTATAAGAATACTCCATATGATGAATTCAGGGTTAAGAATTTATCCAAATTGGAAGCGAATTGTCCTGCGAAATTTCTCATAAGGATGCCAACATGACTCATTAAGTTATAGGTATTCACATCTAAATATCTAAAACTTAATGATACATGTTGGATCTCTTGGTTTCCGGAGGAATCTTTCTGAGTTTACCCGAGTGGAACTTATTTCAATGAGCACGTTGTCTCCTAGTTTACTACCGCGACTTAGGCAAGGTTCAGAGTTCATATCTGACCAACACGTGTAAAAGATAAATGTACATTTACATTTATACTCGACACTGACAACAAATCAAGTTAATCCCAGAGACAGCGGTAAGCTAGCCCCTGGCACATTAGATAATATATACGGGCGGAATGTGATTATATCGACGCCGACAGTTAACAATATCTACATCACGACTAAACTCAGAAAGAGTTTAGTCGTGAAGGTATGTTTATTTATTTATACTTTTATTAGCTTTAAATATACTATAAATATCTATGTTGATTAAATGACAACAATAAATAATTCATATCTCTTCTATTATTTGATTTATTAATCAAATAAACAACAATAATTGGTAAATCAATTACTATAGGTAGGAATAATGTAGATAGTATTCAAATATTTCACAAAATTAATTATTGTAAGTTTTAGAGACCTATTTTGTTAACTTATTTAGCTTACACGTGGAACCACAGAACCAAGCTTTTTGTTTTAAGTGGATACACAACAACATTTTCTGTGAAAATTTCATCACAATGCCGTCAGTTACTTTAACTGAAACACTACCACACGAACAAAAAAACTGACAGTTTATGTCTCGTCCCAATATTATTATATGAAAAGATTTTGTAAGAGATTTTGAGACATAAACGTAATAATTTCTTTATAAAGGATTACCGAACAATCGTAGACATTAAATAGTTAATTATTCAATAATTAATCACGTTACACTGAAAATGAGATTTTCACTGATAATCCTAGAGATAATGTAATTATCACACTAAATTGATTAATCTAGGGTGAAAATTGAATCATCTCGTGAATAAAGATGTAAATGTATTGCGCAATTAAACTGAAAATGCCAACAAATACTATGAATCCGTTAAATAAATATGAAATATTTAAATTTATTTATGTATTATAATATTATTTTTATATATTGTATATATACATAATAATGTATGTATATGTATATATTTCTTTATTGTAATAATTGTGTTCTTTTATTATTTGACCGTGATGTAGCAGTATTCCCTTATCTACTTCCAATGGTCGCGGATTTGATTCCCGCACAATACAATTCTTTTTATTCCTGAGCATATCTATTTATATTGGTATTGGTGTATGTCTATGTATTGTTCTCTAATACTCATATCACATTTACTTCTTACTTTATGAACAAATTCGATAGGAACAGTTCTGACTTTTTTAATATAGTCATCCAATATTTAATTATAGTAATAATCACAAATTATTATTCATGACAAAGGTTGCTTCAAATACTATGTTCCAACTTTTATACAATATTTTATTTGGTATATACAATAGTTATTTAAATAATTAAAAATGTCTTTCCAAATTTTTTCGTCGTATATTGGCGTATTTCGGAATAATTTCCAATACAGGCATATAATGTCGCAGCATAATGGGAAAAATCGTTGGATAATCAGTTTTAGTTCGTCATATCCCAAGGGCCACTCTGACCAAAAACCTCTGCTCTTGTTCTAAAACTATGTGCGATTTTCGCTTGAATTGTTAGATATAATTCATTATAGACTCTCATATTTGAACCCAAATAAATTGACTGTGATCAATAGATAATCTTATGTGAAAACCTTTTAAAATTTTATATATAAAACGTTATATTAGTCGAGTTTCTTGACAGTTCTTCTGAACGGAATACCTAACCAAACTGAACGGTGAGAGACGGTGATAAAAATTGTCATTTTTATACATACGTAAAATTAATTATTTTACAGACATACACGCCTCTCGTATTAGTACTGTGAATTTCTTTTCTATCTTACTTCTAAAAACCTGTAAGTGGCTTCTGTGTTTTAATTATGTTTATTATTGTGTTTGTAAATAGTCTTAGTTTTCTAAATATAAATAAATAAATTAAGAAAATCACGATATGCTACCATGTTTTGATTTATAGTTATTGCGTTCCTGATATTTCGCCAAATAGAACCGCCGTGCTTACGAGTAAACTGATGCATTTAATTTTACCAATAATGACATGTATATAAAAAAGGAATTGACTACACTTCAACAAATATTGGTTTACTAACTGTATAATAACTTTAAATGCATTCATAATATACAAAGAAAGCAAACCAATACAAACAATCACACTCACGCATACAAATGTTTGATCTTGGGGAATCGAACCCACAACCATCGGAAGTAAAGCGCTTTGCTAATCCGCTAGACCACCGAGACCATGACTTGACTGCGGAATCAATTTTTAGTCTCTAGTTCTAGTATTTAGAGTCAGGTAGTAATATATATGAAAGGTAATATAGTCAGGTAATATATATGAAATACCATTATTCTGCTCTGTATAAATAAAAAGATATCCAGGAGAAGTCTAAAGATCACAGAAATCTAAAGGTAATTCTCACAACAGACTTAATCAGAACTAATTAAAAAGGTAAACTGAGTGACTTTATCAAGAGCTAATGGTGGTTTCATTTAATTAGCCTGAGTAGTATTATCTACTAGTATTATCTACTCTATATAATTTAACCTTACCCATCTTGGTGCGTACATTTCAGATTAAAGTCTAATACACATGTATGGTTTCAAAAACATGTAGTACATATCTATTTCTCATATTAATTTTGAGTCCTAAAATAGGCTGTATAGGACTTAATTAATTTCTACTAAACATTGTTTCAGAGTTATTACATGTTTATATTAAAATAAAGGGTTTTAATGTACTATAACTTTGTATGAACAGCTTTATATTTAGTGTTAAAGGAAGTGATTATTTTAATAAATAGCTTTTATAATATTAAGTAGGTACATTAGTAATAATACATTTAGTTTCCGTACAAAAGATACTTTATCTGTAACAGTACAAAATATCTCAATCTTCAGAACCTTGTCTACTTAGACGTGCAACCTTGCGCCTTTTAACATGTAGAAACTAAAACATATTTTTATTTAAATGGAAATAATTTCAAACAAGAACTAGCAACGTATTGAATTAAAATAAAGATTGAGGTCGGATCTCCATAAGGATTTTGATGATGTAAAAAAGGACCTAATTCATGTATAGGTCTTATTCCCATAGGCCCATATAAGATACTTATGATACGCCACTCATTGTTTTATTGTTCAGATTTATTATCGTACTCTTTTATATGAAAATTTAATAATATTAGCACAGTAACAATGTAATTCCATTGAAAAAATAGAAACGCAAATAAGTCATAAATATGCAAACACACAGAAAATAGATAAAGATGAACTGCCGAGTCAAGAAACAAGAATTATTTCAACAGAGTAGAGATAGCTACAACAATCGAAGCCCGAATCTCATTTGCACAAAGCTACGTGCCGACTATAGTAATAAAAGAAATATCACTGGTAATATTTGTAGAAAAAAATTAGATGTAAGAGGAAAATTCTCTTTTCAGGCGTCTCCGTTACGCCATGAGAACTCATAAGTAAATTTCGTTCTCGATATCTCACTAGGAAAAAGATTTCATAGAAATATATGTTCATTTCTTACAAGGAAATGTCAGTGAACTTGCGATGTCACTTTAACCATTATTTCCCAATAGACAATCTATTAGAATACAGACAAAATATTTGTTGCTTGAATGCAGCCAGATATCGTATGGGTTACATATTTTATGAAGCGTCTCTTACTTCCTAGTAAATTTGGTTACAATACTGCGTAAATATTCTATAAAACAAAGAAAAGATCTTCTGGGACATTAACCTCGAAAATATAGACTGAATATCAGATCAAAATTAAATGATAAGAATTTATACCTACAGTGTTCTTGAATACAAAATTATCTCAAAAACAGGTACAGAAAATTAATTAGTATAATTGACACAATGTATATATGTATTATTTTTGTTATAATCTTAAATGAATAATTATTAGTAGTAGTACGTAATATACTACGTATTTATAAGAAAGACTGTTAACAAACAATCAATTAGAGAAATGTTTGAGCTGTTCAATTTATTTCTAAATATTACCATATTATTCAGACTATAAGAAACACTTCAAATTTATAAAATTAATTCTAGAAATGTATATATATTTCTCTCACGCCTAATACCAGCTATCGACGGTCAAAGACAGAGAGTGTAGGTACATTGGTAATTAGCTCGCTTCTCTACTTGCGCTTTTATATTAAACGTTGTGTCTTGAAGTACGAAAAATATATTTTGTTCAATATTAAAAAACAAGTAAACATTTTTAAAAACAATAACTTTTGAAAGTTGCGCCAGTTATAAAAAAGTTGCGAGGTAACAGATTGAGCTGGTATGGGCATGGCGTAGGAACGAAAATCATGTCTTATGGAAAATGAAAGAAAAATATGAATGTGGATGGATGTAAAGGGAGGGGACGCCCTACTAAGAAAAGATGGATGGATTGTGTGAAAGATGATATGAATAAAAGATAATGATATGAATAAAAATTACATAGGTATATTAAGGACAATTTAAAAAGGAGATAGTTCATCATCATGTCAGTGTAGTGGAAGAGAATGCGTACTGCGCCGACCCCAAATAAAGGGATATAGGCAAGGCAATGATGATGAACTATCTCATTTTTAAATTGTCTTATATGTAATTCACCTACTTTTTATACATATATATATCACTCCGAAACGCAGCTATTTCTCAAATCTTAATCAAATATATTACGAACATTCAAATGTTCTTAATAGGAAAAGTTTCGTGGAGTCAAAATGCCTAACTTGGAAACAGGAATGGCCTCAATTGTTACGAAATCAATCTAGGGAATTTGATAAGATTAAAATTTTAGAGGTTTTCAGTTCTATAATAACATTGTTTAATATATATTATATATTCCACATTACATTATATCCCCTTGAAATTATAAAATAATAATAAGCTATATATTTATATTTCATAAGCAGAGTTGTTCAAAAATATTATATTGTCAACACAGTACGTGTCAAGAATAATATTCTTAGCATTAAATATTCGTTACCCGACTGAAGAAACAAAAATTATATTTTTCGAGTAGATATGTATTATGTATTGTATAATAAATATATATTAAAATGTTTGTCGCAACCTAGCAACATACTCTAGACATGTGAGTTAAGAGAGGACATTTTTTTTATTTTTACTTAATTTAGGGAACTTGTACAAACTAAAAGTACATGTCAGCCCCACTGTACCCTAAAACCTATATCACTTCTCCAGTGAGCAAATTGCCTTAGCCGTACTATCTGAAGTATCGGCTAATACACTATAGGCATGAACATTAAATATATTAATTTTATGGTTTGACGTTTTTTAAGACATAGACTCTCGTTCCTGACACATTCTATCAACTATTGATATACATCCTTTTTTGTACGATACTGTTCGTTAGGCAAATATTATAAAGTAATAGAATAAATTCGAATTAAAACAAAGGTGCCAATTTCGACTTTACTCAAAGTTAAAGACAAAATCATTTATTCATTTCATATTCGGTTTAGCACACCATTCCATTCATGCACAGCATTCCTCACATGGAAAAAAGATTTATGAGTATGATTGTTTGTAACGGTCTGAGTGTTTTATATGTAGGTATATTATGTGCTTACAAAAAAACTATGTATTGGTATCAGGGTATTAGATACCCATAACACAAGCTCTATTTAGCTTGGGACTAGATAGCGCTGTGTGAATTGTCCTGAAATATTGTAATATTACATATGAGCCTCAATAACGAGTTAAATTTTTTAAAATAAGTAAGTAATAAAGTTTATCTTTTATAACTTATTATGGATTACGTATATATAAACAAAATAAATGAGATATTAAACATAAATTAACATTATTTTATTTACATAAAATTATACCGATAAAATTAAAGTAAAAAATAATAAATACACATTCAAAAAGAAGTCTTGTAATATGTTGTTTTTTGTACTACAACCCACTACAATTATATTGCAGTGGTATTTATATATAATAGAAATGATAAATATTAATTTCGCAGCAATCCTGATACAATTGAGTGTTAATATTTTTCTCATACATATATAATTACTTCCTTTGAGCTTTGTAGGTATCTTTTCCGGAAATTTCTAATTATCACTATTATTCTATTTATGTATACTTTGAGCATTGAATAGAAATTAATAGTATATTAATTATTTCTATAGAGATTACAGAGCATTGTTCATATTTATAGATTTATAGTTTATTAACAAAATTTGCATACATTTTTTTTTACCACGATGGTGGCAAACAAGCATATGGCCCATCTGATGATAAATGGTTACCGTAGCATATAGACGCCTGAGACACCAGGGAGCTCACGTACACGTTGCCGACCCTAAAGAAATCTTAATTATTAAACTTCTTGAAAAATGCCATAATCTATGTAAGTGAAGGATGGGTTTTGTGGATGAAGAAATGCTCACCTGTATGGTTTCATTTGGTTTTTACTTCCGAACCCTATTTTTTTATTTGCAAGAAATCATCAAAATACTGATAAATTAAATAGATTAGCGATAGTTTAGTTTTATTTACATAGATATTATTATATTGTAAATACAACTTAATTGTTTTTAATATAATACTAAATAAGTATACGCAATAGAAAGACGTGAAATCTTAAAGCCGATATTCGACAGTGATTGAAATGTCCAATTACATTCCGGATATAAATATACGAGTACTGGTATTGAGTGGGTGTAAACACATTAATAGAAATCAACCTGAGATGCCACGTGAACCTTATAACGCATCGGTCTAATAATACATTTAGACGTATATGAAAGACAATTCTTGTATTATGACGTAATGTACCTTCATGTAATATTTTATTTTTTTTATTTTCTACATTAACTCTAAGGTATATGCTGTCTAGTTCGTATTATTGACACAAAACCTGAACTATGTGAAATTATGCATTTGTTGGAAAAAACTACGACTTAGTTTCTTGATCATTCTTCTTAGATGCATTTATAAGATCTATTCGATCATAAAAAGGTAAACAGACGGACACTATACATACACTATCTTGTTTATAAAGTAGTAAATTACTATTCATGTCTAATATTAAATTTATTTGATTTAAGATTGTGTCTATTCCATTCTAAAAAAGCGATAAAAAAGTCATCATCGACAACAAATTACACTCACATGATCATGGTTGATGGATCCGTTTTCTGGTAGCTTACTTTTGATGATATCCGGCCCGGATATTCCTGTTAAGTAGAAAAATAATAATATTCAAACATATTCAACTGCGTAATAAGCACGGTAATCTTTCCATATTTTAAAAGGAAAATACGTTTAAAGATTCAGTGAACAAATAATAAAATTGAATTATATATTTCTTCATATCGCGTATACGTTTTATATATCCATAATAGTAGTAATAATAATTAACATGACAATACTGATAACTATATATCCGTACTATATCTACCAAAGGTTGGGTTTATTCAGGTGAAAGGAATCTCTGAGCAAAGCTACATATATTAGATCGTAAGAACTTGAAAACCTAAATCTACATTCAATCTATTTATCGATGTTCATACTTATGATCATTGAAATCAATATTGTAAAAAAGAAATATTTCATATTTGCAATGGATAAAGTTTACTCTTCTCTCACTTACCTACAGCAATATTATTAGATATATCAACAAGTAACAGACTCAGTGGCTAACAGATAATGCAAATATTGGCTTTAAAACGCATTTAACCATTAGATAGCTATGTTAATATTGTCATTAGTAATAAATTTAGTGATTTAAAAATAAGATATGGCATAGCTAAATTACTTTGCAGTTTCTTTTAAATTTACAAAGTTTTTTGTAACGTTAATTGTTTAAAAAAGATCGTAGGATCTCGAAGCATGTAGTTCAGAGCGTTATTTCACTAATGTTAAAATCTAGATGACTATACGAATTTCGATATAAATGTAAATGTACCAATCAAAAATGAGGAATAATTTATTTCGTCTGTGTTGTTTAAACAAAACTATTCGTTTAATTAAAAGTAAAGACTCAACTCAAGGAGCCAGTTAAACACATACCGGGAATTTCCGTAGGTTTGGGGTGGATGCAGAATATCTTCCTCACAGTCCTTGTGAAGGTCCTCGGGTCTAATGTGTACGAACCGTACACCAGTGGATCCATACAAGAATTGGAGACGGCCATAATGAAGAACAGGTCCTGCACTCTTGCAGAGACGAGCTGTGCTGAATATCTATCCACCATGTACCTAAGAAAACATGAACATTTTAATATGTTATAATTCTATTTTCTTATGTAACTAGTACATTAGCCCACCTTATAGGAAGTTAACCTTTACCACTTATGGCCAACCCCTGAGGCGTGAGTGAAATAAAAATAATTATAATGTATAATATACGATATTAATTTCACTCCTATACCGTTTTAGTCTCCTATCGTCACCTTATATGCTCGGTAGAGTAATTACGTGTAATCACTTAATTGTAGATTTTGGAACAATATAACTATTCGTGGTTATAGCAAAATTACAGCTGAGGCTTCGATCCAAGTGTCTGGTATTTCTAAGGTGACTTTTAGGTTTGCGTCGACAGACTACCTACGTACTTACTTGTGCTTGCTCATCTATTAACGGGGACGTGGGTGATTCTCACGAAATGCGATCCGTACTAAAATTGTTTAAATTTTTCCAATTCAATATATATATAGGGCAGGGAAGGGAATTGTTAGTAATGTGAATTGGTGATCCTAGTAGTGTATCATGTTAGGTTGACCTACGCGCTTTCTTTTGAAACCATCGTGATAAATTCTTGGTGAATTTGTCAACATTGGAATTGGGAAGTACTCCATTAACATCCATAAACATATATATACCAAGAAACTAGATATATACTAAGAACTAAGAAACAACATACAAAAAATATTTATACAATGCAAAATATTTTATAGTCCGGAACCACTCTTTTCATGTAAATGTAATAGCAAAGAAAATGACGACCCATCTAATGATAAATGGTAACCCTTATTTTATCTATGCCGAAATGGTTATAGTGCTATTTGTGTATAACGCACAACACTAAGGACATCTCGCTATTACTGTATACGGGAAATTAAGAAAAAACTAGATAACTAAATATTTTTTTTAAAAATAGAGGAAAAGTACTATACAATACAATATTAGATGATCTCGGTGGTCTAGCTTTACTTCCGATGATCGCGAATCCCATTCCTCGCACGGTACGAACATTTGTATTCATGAGTATGATTGATTTTTATGTCTCTATTTTCAAAACTAATATATTTCTATATTTATATCAGTTGTTTAACACCCATGACACTAGCTCTGCTTAGCTTGCTACTGCATTTGCGCTACGTAAATTGTCCTGAATTATTTATCGTACCCTTTATATAATTTTGATGACAAACAATCTAATAGTCTACTAAATGGAAGATGGCAATCGTCATCTATAATAACTGAACGTGACGCCTGTGACAGTCCATTCATGTTGCCATTCTGGTGTTAAATAAGAGCATTTGGAGCATTTGAGATTTATCATCATTCGCCACGTACCAACCGCACATTGTATGAAATTCACTTGAAACATTAAATTATATATGTACTAATATTAAATGTTCGTTCTATTTATAGTATATAATTATATATTTAGCTAGTAACTCGCCTCAGCTGAGCATGGATGCATTACAAACTATTGAATTATTCGGATTTTCTTTTCTATAATATAATATATAGTATATTAGGTATACATATTAAACTTCGGCATTAAAAATTGCATAAAAATTCGTTACGTATTTTAAAATATATATCCGTACAGCAGCAGTGGCTCTGTTTATTTTTTTTATACTATATAAAGATAAAAAAGAAAATGCAGACTTTGGTACGAGGAAAGTAGATTTCAGAATAACTGCAAAGATTAGAGAAATTCTTTCATTGTTTAAAAATTATTCCAGAATTATTTTATGTTAATAAAACGCACAAAGTTATGTACATCTACGGGCTAAGTTAACGACAAAGGCATTGTGCCTTTATAATAAACATCTGTGCTTTTAATATTATATTAGCCTAAATGTATCACATATCCAAATATTTGTTTATCAATAAACCTTTTTAACATATTGATTTTCTTCTCGCAGATGTACCCGCGTACATACATGCAAATATTTGCACAGACTTTATATGTATGAACACACATTTAATTGCGCCTAAACACGAGTGTACCACTTCATGTCAAGCCCATCTCTGTCGTGTATAGGGTACGGTTTCTCTTGTTTTGTTTATTTAATACCGTGTACGCAATTGTTAAAGACATATATTAAGAGCTTAAGCAGTAATAGAAGTAATTGAATATATTTAAACTGCTTCGTTAGTTAATTTCATTGTATCTGTTTGATATTATTTATTAAATATTGTGTCATTAATTTTTAATCTACAGTATTGGTACAGGGGCAGATAGCTTTATCACATTTATCTGTGTTTTGTTATGCACTATATACTCTGTGCGTTTTTGTTTGAATTAAACATTGAAATTGTTTGTTCGTTTATTGTGAATGTTACTGTAATAAATTATTTTGTATGTGATTTTACATTTCATTATTTTATTCAAGACAAATAATAGTATGATATTTATTGCATATTCCATATTGTGCCTAAACGTTGTATACTAGATTGCCATTTACGAAAAGAACTAGCTGATATAACTTTAATTGGAAATTGAAGCTAAATCTTTAGGTTGTATTTTTTGCACGAAAATAAATAAGAAAGTATTATTTTTCCAATAAATAATTGTATATATTAACCGATTAGCTACAACAACAAAAACACTGAACATGAATCCGTTAATTAGTTAGTATTACTTTATTTTAGGTAGTTTCTTTCGTGTAAACATTGTCATATCAATTACAAGTATTAAAATAAAGAAAATTAATAACGCAAAATAGGCATAGCGGTTCTGAAGTGATGTATTTAAATATAGATACATGAAGTTTTATGCATGTACATACATACATATACAACGAATCAAAAATTACAACGATTTCAAATGAAATCAAATAAAAACATCTCTATTCATGTTACATACATAATATTACAGACTCGTTATGATATGTCAAATCTACCGTACAAATCGGAGTGCTTTCGAACTAAGAAAAAATAATATTTTCAAATGAACTTGTATATGATTACAAAAGTACAGCTTCATTTTTAAATTAGGAATAATAGAATGACCACTAATATATGCTATTGCAATTTTATCAAAAGAAAATAGTCTAATCAATGGCTGTAACCCGAGGTAGGAACCATACATACGTATATTTTGAATCTATATTTATTATGTATAGCTATCGAATTTATAATATTCGCTACAAATGTGGCGCAACCCCGTAAAAAGATATGAAGAGCCACTATCCATCCATTTCGGGTAGGTCCCATTTTTCTAACAAAAATATGGTCGCACTCGCTGTAGACACGGATTTACAATTTTCTCTTTTAGGATAAATTTCAGCAATATTTTTTTATTATCTGGCTTTTTCTATACTTCTATATAAATTATCTAAATTATGTAGTACACAAAATCCTACAGGTAAATACATACATACAGGGCTCAGAATAGTTCACGATATCCAGAGAGATGAGTATATAATACTTTTTGTGTATATATATAAGTTGTATGCAAGAAGGAACTGCAAAAGAAAATTAGTTACTGTCAATTACGATAGCGCTTACACTACCAAAGACATGTAAATAATAGTAATAAATGTAAAATGGCCCAAGATTACTAAAATGACTATTCAAGCTTCTCTCAAAAGCGGAGAAACTTCTATTACGTATATATTGATAGTTATAACCACAGACATCATGTCACTGTATAACATCCTAGTACTTCAATTGAAAGTCATTTCAAATTCTGAAATTTAATGCCACTAACCAAAACGCAGTTTATAAAGCAAGCTTATTGGCAGCTGAATTACGAGATACTTTAAAAAACATTCTAGAAAAATTTGAATATTTTTGTAGAAATGTATTTCATTGAAATTTAGATATCTTGGTACGAACTGAACATGTTACCTCCTATTGTACCCGAAAATATATGTATTTAATTAAATAAAACCACCAACTAACAAATTACATTTACAGTATCTGATAGAGCTAGTACCTATGTATAATAAAGAATGAAAGGAATAATATTTCATAATACCGGTATAATGCGACAAAGTACATAAGGCTTGGCATACAAGGGTTATGACCTCCGCATGATTTTCCCTATCTCCTTCATCCTCCTCATAATTGACTATTAAAATAGTCCTCTACCCGAAATATATCTCTATAAATCAGGGTTGACGTTCAACAGTATCCCCAAATAGAACATGATAAACTGTTTCAATGGAAGTTGTTATTATGCTATTAACCAATTTACATATAAAAGGAAAATCGTACGTAGCATTCTTAGAACATCATTATCAATTTTGATAAGCTACTATAACTACACTCTATCGGGTCGCATGCTTTTCTTTGTCATTTTTAATTTTTTTGCACAAAATGGTAAAGGAGTTATAAATATTACAAGATGGGGGCAAAATAAATAATAACGATAATTTTATTCATAAAGGTTTTTTGATACATTCTTATATGATGTTGAAATGGTTGAAAATATAGCCTTTATAAAATCTGATTATATCAAGCGTACAATTCTTTAACTTGTACGCTCGTTAATTTATAAAAATTAAATTATTGATGTTTATATAATAATCGTATCTTATTATTCTATATATATATATACTGTAGTTTTTTATAATTTTAGTTTTCCATAAACTCTTTAATTGAATAAAGACACTTTGAAACTTAAGATACGACAGATACTACGATATAAATTTGCAGGGTGTTCCTTAACAATATTCTGGATATTATTAGGATATTATTTATATATTTTGAGATATACGTTTAAAATTAATAAATAATAAACAATGACATTACATACAACAACAATATACATAGAAAATACATAAAGAATCAGATAGTAAATCATAATATATACAATACAAACAATCATACTCACAAATACAAATATTTGGATCGTGCGAGGAATTGAACCCGCGTCCATCGTAAGTAAAGTGGTGTGCCAACCGCTGAACCACCAAGGCGGTCAAAAAATATAAATTCTTTCGACGTATTTGATTAATTTATATAGTTTTATTTAATCAACTTACCATATCGTCATAGTGGCATATGGTAGCCAGCAACAGGCGAAGACAGTCACGATGGTAACGGTCATCCGCAAAGTCCTCCGCCTCGCACGCGCCAGTGGTCTCTGGTCCGACCGTCGGAGAAGCACACGGCTATGGTCCGTCTGCTGGTACTTTTCTAAAAATTACCCATAGCCTGAATATCTGAATTTTATGAAAAATACAATGGATTGTAACTATAAATATTTTACCAATTTTAAACGTTTGCGTTTAGTACATATCTTATCTTAATGCTTACTAATATTATAAATGAGAAAGTAGAGATATTTGTTATCATGAAATTCACATGCATTATGAAATTTTGTACACATATTCTTGGAGGTATTAGAATGAACATACGATACTTTTTGTTTATGAGTATGGATGTTTGTTACTCTTTCACGTAAAAATGCGGGTGAAACCGCAGGCTCAGCTAAATATTAATATAGTTGAAAGGGATTTAACGCGATTAATTCTATGGCACATAAAGATGATTGACCACAGCTAGTGCAACCTAGTCGAAACGTCCAGAGAGGTAAATACGATTATTTGCCATAAAATTATTCGTGTTAAAAACCCGTTTGACTATATTCATAATTTGAACATTATAATTATAATTTTTTGAGTCTATTTTCATATACCCCCATGGGCAAAAGTCTTTATCATTATCAGATCTCAATATAATTATCTCGTTTGCTGAATGTGGATTGGCGATTATAAACTCTTTTTGACGTTATTATTCTTTTAGTCCTTAATATTACTTCCGATCAACATGGGGTCGATTTCTCGCACAGTACATTTGTATCAAGAGTTTGACCTATTGTTTGTATTGATCTCAGTGTTTTCTATGTATTTATTTACAAAAAAAATGTATTATGTATTTGTATTACCCATGACACAAAATCTGGTTATTTTGAGATTTCACAGCGCTGTGTTAATTGTCCAGAGTTATTATTATTATTATAATATAGACAAACAAACACCATTACCGATATTTATGTATTCTTAATATGGTTGATTATGGTAGATTAACAAATTAGCGGACCACCTGAAGAAATAACTAAGTAAATAGGTAACTATCGCCTGCAAATATAAACCGATTTACTGACTATATACCCGCCTGAGAACTACGGTATTACGTACAGACACATACACACACTGGCATACAGAATGGCTACACAGGTAGCCATTCTGTATGCCAGTCATTCTATATCTCATATTCCATTCAAACTGACAAATATAAAATTAAAAAAAGATCTTTACGTTTTTTAAATACTAAATCAGTTTGAAGAAGAATTTATTGACAAGAAACAAAACAAAAGGTATCCATGCAGAAGACTTTGTACAAAGTCACCCTCTGCTAATACTTAATACATTTTACAACAGATATTTTGACGGCAGTACCAAGTACCAAGCCAAGCATTAGCTAATTTATATTGTTACAACGAAACTTAATGCCCAAATGTAATCAAGTATGTTACGGGCTGTAGCGACGGATTGTAAACTTCATTTTCAAAAACAGAATATTCAATTCGTCTTAAAAACGTGCTGGCAGCCTATTATTATTATCAATACATATAAATAAAATTGGAGTGTCTGTTTGTAATATTACAATAACAATACACTAAATTAACATTTTTTACAATTGTCTGTTCGTTCCGGCTCTGAAACGGCTGGACCGATATTGACGGGACTTTTTTTTGGCAGGTAGCTGATGTAATAAGGTGTAACTTAGGCTGCTTTTATGTTATCAATTTTTTTATATATTAGAAATATAAAGTTAAATTCCACGCGAACGAGGTCGCATGTAATAATTAAACAGGCGATTCAATGCAATCAGGCTTTTATTCTTTTTTCATTTCAAATAAAGATTTTGTGTATGAATATGCATATATTCTTTGGTTTTGGTTGTTACATAGGGTTACTTTTGGTTTTCTTCTCAAAAAAGTACAGCCAACTTTTCCACATACCCAATTCTTCCTTAATATAGGCAGGTTTAACACCGGCTTGCTTACTAGATAGAGCAAAGAACGATAATACTGGCCACGAATAAAAATATGTGAACACTTACATTTAGAAGAAAATATTTAATTGAAATAAGAACTGGAAGCAATGGGACGCTCCGATATTTTTACTACTTTTAAACACAATAATTAATGAAATAATTGATCTAATACATATAATTGTTTTTAAATAAAATATACACATTATACACTACAATACGTGGCCTTTAAATCATACATAACTACACATGAGATATGGTGAGTAAGTTTGGGGTTACTTAGTTTAATTTGGAATTATTAGACAGAATATATAAGAAAACGTTCTTCCTAGGCGTAATCGTATTTTTAATTCCTTTTTCATAAATTATTTTCATATCTATAAATATAACCCTCTATCAATGTTATGACTTTTTTTAGGGATATTCTTTACTACCGTTAGTCCAATTACCGTTAGATTTTTCATCGAAAGATCGCAGTACTCCATACTTAAAGTATCCGTATTGACTGATGCAACAGAATTTGTACAAAATTAAAAATTATTCGAAAATTCAGACCCGTAAAGTTACTACATTTTTTAAGAGAGCAACACGTAAGTTATTTGCCCGTTCTTGTGATTAAATAGCATTCCGAATGAGTAGTAGATTAAAAAAATACCTTTTAAAAGTGCTTCAAGTTAGTTTATTTGAATAAAGAATTTTCTATTTTATTCTAATAAAATGGTTCTGTATTTAGAATAAAAACATGTTGTTGTATACATATGTATTTAATTACTCGATATCCTTCTAGATCTAGGTATGATGAACATTTCAACATCAATATATAATATTATATTTCAGCCTAATAAGTTCTATGAACTGTCCTATTTAATATTGTAAATATTTGAAAGGTGAACGTTCTCTAAATTTTATTACGAAGTATTTTCCAGAATACTGTACACTGACACATAGTACTATCGAGTAAGACTTAAATGTTTGAGACAATTCACTAATATCAATTACTTATTAATGTCACAAACATTTAGGCTTACTCTAAATAAATCACAGATGACAAGACGATGCATAATTGTAAATGTAAATTAGATTCTATTCTCCGCAATTAACCTCTCTTCTGGGCCGTTGTGCGTGTAGAGCAGAAACTAGTAAAGTAGCTAGCCAAGTTCCTTCCAGAAGTGCAGAAGCCTCCTGGTGTCTTGATATGCTTCATGGAGCGACATCACCGTTCTGAAAATTCGTGTACCAACTTGTGTGGCCATTGTTGCTACGCGCTCCAGGATTTCGTGAGCGGCCGTTTCTTCGGCATCAAGACAGCCTCGATAAAGAGGACAGTCCTCTATGTGTGTTTGTTTAAGGATTAGTGGCCCGTTATTGTTGCTATAATTATTTGAAGGTTTTGCCAGTAGTAGGTTCAGTAGGAATACCATATATAATTCGTACTCATGATATACTTTAACATTTTCCATTCTTCTACATATAGTGTTTGTCATCTATCCCCTTCTAAATGGCTGGACCAATTTTGATGAAATTTATACACATATTTCAAGGTTTCTGGATAATAATGCTGACGTATGGCGATTTCGCTAGTGGTATAATAAAATTAGTTCTAAATTTAAAAACTAATTTAGTTTTAATTCTCGAGTTCATCTGCTAGTTTTTTTTATAACGGAATATTAAACAAACAAATATACGATTACGATTGTACCCATGTGACATGGGTACTGCTGCTGAGAACTATGAACTGTCAATGTTGTGGTGAACACAACTCTTGACATTTCTCTGAGTATACTTAAATCCAATACAGCATGGGTTTGAACTTACGACGTCTTGGACGTAAATCAGGGCGTTAAACCACTAGGTCACGATGCTCCAGAATATTATTATACTCATTACCTACGTGACCTACATACGACATGCAGACATGTACACAAGTAATAAAAACTTGATTGATGAAGCATTTTGTAAATATTGGAAAATTAATACATACAATAATAAAATTGGTTTTCCAATGCCAATAAATCAGGTTAATTTCTGTTTCTGATTTTCGGTATTGAAAATAATTAATTGATGTTTGTGCACGCTAATTATGTAGGTAAACGTATTCACAATACATCATTCGTTATATATGTTAATTCGCAATTAAATCAATAACTTACCAGATGTCTTAATAATACATTAAAACATTAGACAAAGCGTCAAATTTAACTGGGAATTTGTATAAATTGAAACCCAAATTTTACGGTCTGCAACGCTCCAAGTTACTACCAATTATTTGTCAACATTCTCTTGTTTTTACCGTAATTAGCTTAGCCTAGCCTTAGCCTACTACTTTCGTACTTAATACAAAGTTGGGTTTGATAAGTCTTAGGTCTCGTGAAACTTACTTAAGACTTTACCCGCCATACTAAATTAAATCAAAATATATTTATGAGTAAGAAGACTTGTATAAGTCTTTCACTGAGGTACACTTTATACAAAGTCATCTGCGATGGTACCTCTATGTCACTTATATCGGGCTCTAAGCATGTTGCTTTAGAATAAGTGTTTCAGTAGAACTAAATGAACTGTAATAGACAATTCAAGTTACGACTGCTGATTTAATTTTAGATAAATAGATAAAATATGATTTATCAGCATAATATAATGACAGAAGATAGGTACAATTTGTATGTATATTTATATGTATATATAAAGTAAACGTATGTGTATAAATACAACAAGTCGTCATTATTGCTGAAACAATTTTTTTCAAGTCAACCTTAAGGTAACGGATACAATTGTATTAATTTTAATGAAATTATTTTATTAGGATTTGCTGCTAAATATCTCTTTATACTTAAACATTAATAAGTATAGAGTTACTTTCAAAATAATTAGTAATTAAGTATTATAAATTAGACCTATATGATAATTCATCATTTGTTTTTAAAGTTATAATAAAAAAATGCCTATGTGGATTATATAGATATTATATAGACTATATTCCCGTAGATATTATACCTCTGAACAAAATTAACAATAAAAATCTTAACACTGAAATAACTACAAATAAAAATAGCACACTAAATGAAATATCAAGTTGTATAAATAAATAATGTTTGTATAAGTAAATTATATATATAAGTAAATTATATGACGATAACGTTTCATATGTTGTATTGGTATATAGCAAAGACTTTTTGGAAATGAGGAAAGTAATTTTATTGTCGTACTCCCTTCTCTTCCCTTATCTTTAAATGGAAATAAACGGCTTATAGATATAATCAAACAATGAATTATACAAGAACTTATATTTTATATTTATGAGTATCTTTCTTAGCTTTATTAGCTTATAGAATCTCATTTATTACCTATTCTTTATGTAATTCAATCTAAGTAATTTTTTTATTGTTTAATCTTATAACAAATTTAAACTCCCCATATTATATACTATGTGAAAAATATATTTAGAGACTTTGCAAAAAAAATCGTCAGTATACCTAGTCCAGATACTTCGGCTGACTAACAGTATAGTCTCAAAGATGTGTATCGGTTGTAGGATGAAAAAAGCAGTACAAAACATTATTTAGAGGCATGAAATCTTAGTCACATCACATAAAACTCAAGGTCAATATAAAAAATATATTACAATACAAATCATTGCCTGGGATTGTATTGTAATATATTGCATTAACTCATTACATGGGATCAGCGCAGTATATTGTTCTTCTACCTTTTACCGGTCCCTATCAGCTATTACATATACTACTAGCTGTCCCTGCAAACGTTGTTTTGCCATATAAATAAATATTGCTATTATATGTAAAATAGGAGTTGGTGCTAGAAAAGTAAAAATTTAAGGCTGTATGAAATTTTTAATGCCAAAAATATAATTAAATAATTTGTCGAAAAATAAAAAAAAAATTTGGGGTGAGCCACTCTTAATACTTAGGGGTATGATTAGTTAGAAGGTAAAATTAGTTGTAACCCTATTTTCAAACTAACTGAATGTACTTTTAAAATTTATCAAAATTGTTCAAGCCCTTACGGAGGAGGATAAACACGAAACCTGTTGACACGAGAATTTATATAGGTATTAAAAAGATAAAAAACTCTTTATGAATTTTTAAATCTAGTTACAGGTACAGAACCTAAACTATTGACTAGTATTTTGTATCCAAATAATCTTCTTTTTAATAAACGTAGTAGACTTTCCCTCAAAGTTTTGCATAACTATATATATAAGTAAAATTGAAGTGTATAAACAGACACAATTTAAAATTAAAGATTTAGACTAAATGTATATGATTAAAAAACTATTTGAAAGTTTGTACGGTACGTACATCATATATAAAATTTTAAAAAATGTTCATCGGTCTGTGTTTAGTTATTGTTAATCTCTTAAACGGCTGGATCGATTTATGCGGGACTTTCACTCACATTATAACTAATGTTATAAATAGTGACCTAGGCTTTTTTACTTTGGTTTTAGAAATTTTAGAAACTTTTCTAAAAATAGTTATTTTCTACCCGGACTAAATCGCAGGTACTTAACAGCTAGTAAAAAATATGTTTCTATTGCGGAGTTTATATTGAGTTGTCGTTTCCGTAATTGGAGCCTTAGGTATCAACTTAATTGGATTCCAATTACGAAATCCTAAATAAATGACATCAATTTCTATGTTTAGAACGACATCATCAACTGTTCTATAAATAATTATTTTTATATCATTGGTTTAGAGGCATCTCTATCAAGTAATATATGTATCTCTACCAAGTGCTATTACATATACTTTATGTAAAGTATTATGTTTAGATAGCTGTAATAAGAATCAATTAACAAAAATGGCAAGACATATACTCCAACAATTTTCTGTCAACTGAAACAAAATAACTATAATAAAATTATGACAAATTGTTAGTTTTACATAAATTTACTTGATTTCTTTAGGTAACAATAGGGTTTACTACTTTGTCCGAACCGTAATACTTAATAGATATGTACTATTATTAGAAGTGTTTTTTATATAGTCTTCAGGAGCTTCTAGGCTTTGACAGCCACGGCAATATTATTTACTAATGTGACTGTTAACGTTACACTACCCTACTTTGTAAAATGTTACTTTTGTGTTCCAATAAAGAAATCTTATTATAATTATTATATTTTAATAGCCAGGCATTAAAAAGTTTGTTTGATACGCCGTTACGCCTAAACTACTTAATCTATTATGATGAGTTGTGATATAGATATAAGAATAGAGAAAGTACAGATAAATATAAGGGACCCTGAAGACCTGAAGGTTGTAAGGGACTTTTTATGGTAAAAACTTATAGGAAATAGAGAGATGGCAAAGGTAATTTTTGTTTGAAACTTTTCGTTGTGACTTCCGATTTCCTTAATTTACTTATTTGTGAAAAAATTATTTAAAAAAGCGCTACACAAGCAAAAGAAAATAGGCATATATAGAATACTGTAGAAAATAGACAGGGAAAATTTTAGGACTCTTGATATGAATGAATTTATGAAAATTAATATTGGAGTAAAAATAGAAGGAAGACCAAGCCACAGCTACATCAAGCAAATTAAAAACAAAATGAGGGTCATGTCGTATCAACATTTAAAGAGCATGACGGAAGACCATGGGAAGTGGCAAGAGCTCTACCGGCAAAAGCGTAGCTCTTAAATTATGAATGAATGAATAATTTGTTTATCAATTATTTAAATGTTGTTTATTAAACAATTATTTATTATCCTTACAACCCACACAGCAGAGGATGACTAGTAAAGTATAAGCTGTGTGTACCTTAATGTTTTAATGAAGCAATATTATAGAATTCGAGACCAAAATTGTTTTGATAAATGCTATACTGAAATTATAAATTATTTTACGTAGCTTGTCAGAAAATACTAAACAATCGTGGTCCAACTTTGGCACATTTATTAAACGTGTGACATATTAAAAATTAATATGTCACACGTTTAATAAATGTGCCATATTACATAATTAAAAATATTTTTTATTGATTATATATACGTAAAAACCTCTTAAATAATGACTGATAATAATTTAAAATATATATAACCATTTTTTTCATATTTTCGGCCCATTTTGTGTATAATACTAATTCTAATGGATGTTTATAATTTGAACATTTGTCTTGATTGTCGAATTACAAATATAAGTTGCAACTTAGACTATATTATTATTTGTTATTTATTATTATATTATTAACTATATTACTATACTTATGTATTAATGTATAAAATTATATATCTGCATTATAAATAGAAATAATCTTTATTGAAATAAACTCATTATAAGCACTTTTGAATAGTCATATTTTTTATTCTCACTCACTCATTCAGAAAGCAGACTCATCACAAGAAGAACTAGCAAGAAAACTGTATCTTAAACTTATAAATAAATGTTCTATTTGAAATATATAAATAAATAGTAATAACTAGATAATATTTACTTAATTTTTGTGTCTAAATCTTTTACACAAAAAATCTCAGGATGCGTATAAAATTGGAGCCGTTGTTAATAGATAATTAAATAATTTTATATCGAGTTAATAATTAAACTATCTGTGGAAATGTTGACTAAACATGAGTTGTCGCTTTGACAATAACGTTTATGTCTAGGACTAAGTCATACTTTTGGTCTGGAATTTCATTTTAATTAAACGTGCAATTATTTTGTATAGACATCTAAAGCAATTGGAGCTACAAACTTATAAAATAGTTTCTATAACGAAGAATTTTGTTTACAGCAACAATATAGAATATAATCCACTTGAAAATTATTTGAATACACAACTTACTAGACGAGTGATTGAAATTTCAAACATCCTATCAAATAGCTTGGTACCTATCTGCATGGTAACTATGCAAACGATGAAAATACTTAGACGTTTTATATTTATATATGTATGATACACAGAAAATATCTGGATAAATCTATGTTTTACCTATTATTTTTCCCAATAAATCATTAATTAATTTAACATTTTATTAAATAATAATTGAAAGAATTAATGATTAATTGGACTTAATTAAAAAAAAATAAAACATTCAATAATAATGAAAATAAATAGAAAAACATAGTAATATTGACAATCTACGCAGCGCATCTAGACCGGAACTTGTGTTATAGGTAGGTACTAGAGAACTGGTATAAGTACTAAAAACTTTTTTTACAAATGCATACAAACATTTGTACATATGAATAAAAAAGTTTGTACCGTGGAAGGAATCGAATCCGCGACATTAAGACCGACCGAGATGTAAACCGCTAGATAGCCGAGGCTGTCAACGAAAAAAAGAAAGTTATTACCTGAAGTCTCCTTTGAGTTTTTAGAGATTTCGTAGAATATGCATGCGTAGCAGACTGTGATGATCATCAGAGGTAAGAAGTACATAGCACACAAACAAAACACGTTGTATGCAAATTCCTGCTGCTGATTATTGAAGGCTTCGAAGGAGACACACTGCTGAAAATCCGGCACTTTTGGATGCTGCATTACTCGGAAGACAAGACTCTGAAACAAACATTGAATATAATACAAAATAAATGTATGTAACTGTAAAACTGGAAGGCCTCATAATGGAAAGACATATAGTAGTTTAATACTCAATAAATATTTGTACTACATATAAGCAGATTTTGTAAGGACCGTGTCTACAATAACATTGAAAAAAGATTCAAATATCGTATTACACCCTTTCTCTGTAAAATATACTTATTATAAAATAGAAGAGTTTGTAAAGAATAATAATATTTTTGTGAAAAAAACTTAAAAATCATAGCGCGAGCGATAATATTATCTGATTGCACTAAGAATGAGTGCCGCTACGCTACGGTTTCTATGCTGATTATGTAATTATGTATTTAAAATAATATTTCTTTAAAAGAGCAACACACAAGTTTCAACACAACCGTTCTTCTTGTATGATGAGTCTACGTTCCGAATAAGTGGTAGAATAAAAAAAAATAACTATTCAAAAATTGGTTTATGTGAATAAAGATTATTTCTATTTCTACATACACTATACTCACACTTTACCCAAATTGGTTCACGAATAAATCAGTTATTATAACTATGAAAGCGGCATAAGAACATGAATTAGTTATATTACGTCTGTGGCACCTCTCATAGAACATTTCACACTCTTCAAACCAGAACAATGTGACTTATCGGCAGATACAAATAAGACAGAGTTACCCACGCAGACGATTTTGTACAAGCTCTACCTTCAGAGAATACGAAGTCCTATAATAAGTTATCTTTATTCCAATATTTTTCGAATTCAAATCATCTTACGTAACCTATAATCGACATATGACCTGAAATTTACGTACCTATGGCTTGAACACTTTTTTGAAATCAGATAAGTTGTCAAGTTTTCATTCATTAACTCCCACATTTTACACCCTCAGAACTTACTAACATTACCTTTAACAACTTAATAATAATGCTGATATAAATGAAAGGAATAAATTTTGAAACAAGATGATAAGAATTACAAACTTTACCCACAGTATCCTTATCCGCATAAATTACAAGTGAAACTTAGTGCTACAGTTTCCTTTTATATAAGGAATCCATACTTATATTAAAATGGTAAAACTGTGTCTGTCGCTGTGAATTTGTTACGACTATATTTTACTGTACTGGCTATATTTTAGTTGAAAAATAACCTGGAAGTGAATGAAATACGGGATTAAAATACAGTTGTAGTTACCAGTAACAGTTAATGAATAAAATTCACATTATATAAAAAAACATCTATTCAAAAGAGCAACACATAAGTTTCTTGCTCATTCTTCTTGTGATGAATCTGCATTCCGAATGAGTTGTCAAAATATGACTATTCAAAAGTGCTTGTAATGAGTTTATTTGAATAAAGATTAATTTCTATTTCTATTTCACAATTCGACTTACACACAATACGGTGTATGTATATTTATATTACATACAGTATCTTCTAGAAGAAGAGGACTGGTTATTTTACATAAATTTTGTTATAATTATTTATAAATTAATCCCAGACGTAGTTTTCATCATTCGTTGTAATTTCTACAGTACAAAAGGCAGTGCCTACAAAGAAATTCTATGTAATTTAAAACTCTTAATTGTGCTTGTGTTAAATGTAACGGAAATATTTAACTTTGCTTCTTAATCAAATTAATTTTAATTCAACGACCCTCATAGCTAATTAATGAGCTATTTACACGTGTCAGCCTGTAGGGAACTCAAATAATTCTTGAGTATAAAAGGGGAAAAACGCAGTGAACATAGTTGCTTATGTTTTAAAATTTTAACTCCTCTGTTACATAGAAATACTTAAAAAATACGTATATAGTTACATAGGTACTTGGAGAAAGAAGATAAACTAATGGGGGTCTGTAACTCCTTTGCTAGCATTGTACAATATTATGACAGTTTGACCTCCACTTGTTCAACCCGGAAAAGCTGATACTTGGTAAATTCACGATGGACTATCTTTATCATCATTCATTGGTGCCCCGTGCTCAGCGTATACCGATAGAAGGGTGGATCATTTCATAATAATCGATAAAAAAAACTGTTGCCATCGTGAAGGACGCAACAGTAAGGAATCCAACTGTGCCTACTGCGGACTGTCGAATTTGATTTATTATTAGAGTTTTGATCACCAGAGAGTTAGTCAGAAATAAATAACTCACGAAGTTCCTGGTGGCGGACAGATTTAAACTTATAACCTTTCGGTAAGAGCCGGTATAATAAACAGTTAGTGCCACAACGCTCTTAATTTGCAATAGATATGGATAAAAATGTGTTTTGTTATTTTTAACTTAGTAATCAATGTACTATTTTTGCTGTTCCAAAGCCGCAGATTATTTGGTATAGAAAATAGCTCATTGTTTACCAGAGAAAGAAGTGACCGATTACCAGTGTGACATTTGATATCTGACCCGACTAAGGGTCACATTCAAATTACACGCTTAAGGAGTTGTAATTTTCCACGTTGCTGTGTGGTGGAAGCCAGTAGTGCATATTTGTAGACATATTCCCTGGGGATATTTTAAATAGAAAAGAAAAATTTCCTCGCCTACGAGGAAATTATGGAATAAGCATAAAAACATTTATACTGTATCAACAATAGTTGATCTACCAAAACTTCATAACGTTGAATTTGTAACATAATAAATTGTTATTTTACTTCTACTTAGTATTATTTACTTATTATATACCTAAATGACTTTTTTAAAACTACTTTAATTAATTAATATTCAAAAATGTAGGTAGGCATTTTTGCATGCCATCTTTTTCCCTACCATGACGTTGACCGTTGCAAATCCTAATATATAATAGAAAAGAGGTGGTGAAACTAAGTGTTTAACCAGTGACATACTCCTAATACATACTCTGGACCCTGATACGTACTGGAGAATATTGAGGCCCTCGGAGCATCGAAAGATACGACTAATATATATATATATATATAACCCTCATACGCTTCCAACTTAAATTCAATTTTAGAAGTAGGAAATATATTACATACATTCTGAGCCCATGTATATATATAGATTTTTATGAAGTATTCAAGAACCGGGAAATACTAAATACCGCGAGGATAAAAGCCACAAAATATTCGTTTAATCTCTCGATTCTCTTGTAGATACATAATCGTTAAGGAAAAATAGAAAATTAAATGGATGAAAAGCGAGAACAGGTTCTGCAAACTGTTATTATTACTTAGAAGTTACAAACCTTATGTTCTTTCATTTAGAGGTTTCATTATTGTTTTCTTTCATGAATATTTAATTGCCGCTCTTTATCACGGCCATACCTACTTATACATTAATCTTGCCGATGTTTGTTGCCACAGCAACAAAAATAGCCAATGAAATAATTTAATTTCAGTTTTTTAAGTATTTAAGTAGAAATATGCATATAGATTTTATAATAAACTGCCAGAATCTGCTCTAAATCTGACAGAGAGGCAATTCAAATCGTATGTTAAACAATTTTTGTGTAAGGAAATCTATTATAGGATAGATGACTTCATAGATAACAGTAACATATAGCAAAAACAAGTTTATTTGGGGACAAAGTTATACTTTTTGAAATAATTTTTGTTTCTTAAAATATATTTGCATCTTTGTATTAATTGTCGCATGCATTCTTATGTAAAGTCAAATTCTATACTATACAACACCATATAGTCATTTTTAGTGGTTACCACGTGGTCGAGTGGAGTAGTCATGCTCACTAAAATGTTCAGACATGTGGCGGCGTTATGGTCCGGGTCATTGGGCTCCCTAAAATATAGTCGAGTGCAGTGATAGCTGGCTCATACAGAGTATGACACTTGTGAACAAGTGCTGTTTGTAGGGACTGGCCTGCTCTAATCACTACGACTTTTTTAATCCTATTGTGTACTTAATATCTGAAGCTAATAATTTTTTGCTAGTTGGTGGTTTGTATTGGCACGTTTCGAATTGGAAATGTAAAATTACAATGATTATTTAAAAGAGCAACACGCAAGTTTCTTGTTCGTTCTTCTTGTGATGACAGCTTTCCGACTATTCAAAAGTGCATAAATTAAGTTTATGTGAATAAATGATTTTCTATACTAATAGAATAAATAAAAATGATCTATATTTAAATACATTTAATATAATTGGACGCCCTCGGTGGTCTAGCGGTTTAGCACACCGCTTTACTTCCGATGGTTGTGGGTTCGATTTCTCGCACGACGCAAACATTTTTATTCATGATATGATTGTTTGTATCAGTCTCCAGACTGATACAAACAATCATATCATGTTTTCTATGTATATTATGTATGTATTAAAAAATGTCCGAGTATTTATACGTATCAGTTTATTTGATTAATTTTCATGTTACTTTCCTAAGCTATTTTCACTAATGCGCCAACTATATTTTTTTTGTAAATACACTTTCCAAGATTGTCTGGAAGAGATCGCATCAGTGTTAAGACCGCCTTTTGTACTTAATTTAATTTTATTCATGTCCTTCTATGTTGTTGCCACTGATTTTAGTATTATATGTAACCTGCTTTAACCTAATCTCTGAAACTCTCAAACGACTTTTATGAAATGCTATAATTGTGTATTTTTTGCTTTAACTTGAAATACAGGATACTCAATATTTTTTACTATGATGGATGAGCGACCCCAATATCTTTCATTACAAATTTAAAGCCAATGAGCTTATAATTAAAAATAAAGGAGAATTTATGCAAATTTGTTTCCCAGGTCAGCATCAGGGTATTCAGTTCACTTTAGTGAATAATAGAAATTATGTACGTCCAATAAAAATATATAACGACATGCAGTTAGTAAATTTTTAAAAAAATTATAGAATATCATTTAAATACTACATACCTAAGTAGATATATAACTTTTTAATGAACTATTTATAGGTAGGTCGCTAACCGAGATATATTTTTACGTAGAATAATTAATTATTATTAAGCACCGATCTCTCACGAATATTAAAACTTTCATAAATTGGATAAGTACTTAGAT